ATAAAACCCCACGCTAACCAAATCTATTCTTCAGAAGCAAAAAATTATTTACAAAGAAACGGAATTAGAAAAAAAACATCTTGAAAAAATCTGAAATGAACGATTGGTTAGTTCACTCATTTCATTCCTGGAAAACTGCATTTTCCACGAAAAAAAACGGAAATTTTTCACCGTAACGTGATACGGTTGTACAATGGTGTCGTTGGGTCTATGGCCTTTGCACGAAATATGAAACGCATGCACTTGTATTATTAAAAAAATATATATAGTTTATTCATTATTTTCCATTGATTTGGATGACATGGACAAACGATATGTTTGTGTGGTGCTTTATTTACAAAGTTGGTTTTGTTTTTTCTTTTTTTTGAGTATTTCATAATTTTTTTTATAGACAATTGATTTTCGGTTTCATTTTTACTACAAAAAAATATATGTTTCTAAATTTGATTTGACCAAATCAAACGAAAAATGTTATTATGTCAGTCCGTCTTAAAAAAAATAATATGAAACGAAAGGAAGGAAAAAAAATAGAATAAACAAGGGAAAGAAGTAATAAAATATGTGAATAATTAACAAAGAAAATCATCATCGATAGAGTTTCAATTGGAATTTGGTGGATTCTTAAAGATTTCGAATCTATGAATCGAAATTTGGAATTTTTTTCGAATTTGCATTTTAGTATTATAGTAATGTACATTTTGTCCTGCCAACTTATTGCTAAAATAATGCATAGCAGGTGTTCAAGGTTAATGACTAAATAAAACCTATAATTACAAAAAACATCTGCCCGAATGTAATAATTGTTGTTTAAGGTATGGACAATGCATATGTGGACATACATGTGGATGAAGAACGCGAACAATTCATAAGAAAGAATGAAAACAAACTCTCCAACAGAGAATACGACTCGCTCTCATTGCATTATCTGAGTTTAATTTTTTTATTGATTATTATGACAAATGACACATACACACACACACACACACGAGAGAAAAAAGAGAATGCAAACATGAAAAATGAATTACAAGACTTTTTTATTTTTTTTTTTTCAATCATCAGTATACATATGATTTATTAATTTACGTTAATTCTCACACATGAAACACATTTTTTATTTGTTACCAATGTCAATGTTCGTACCCATTTACCAGTCTTTCGAATAAATCCCAATTTCTTTAAGCGATGAGAAATTACCCGCTGACTAACGCGAAGTATTTTTGCAATTTCTTCTTGAGTTTTCGATGAATTTTCAATGAGTAATGTTTCCAAATCTTCATTTTTAAATTTCCTCGGTCGTCCAATCTGCATAAACTATTCATCTTCCAAGTTAAAATTTTCACTTTTAAACTGTTTAAACAATCTATAGCAGGTTCGATCGGATGGAATTTCATGTAGTTCTCCATAAAATTCTCGTAAAATATGATAACTTTGAGATGCGTTTTTCTTCATATGAAAGCAATGAAGCAAAACTCGCTGAAAAAACATTTTTCTTGGTAATGGTACGTATGGTTCCCTTTTTACATGTTTTTTAAATGGTTTTAACCATGGTGGAATTAAACGTTTTTTTTTCTCTTTCCAAGACTTCCAATTCTTCAATCTTTTTTAGCATATCTCCGCATCTTCGAAAACATATTTACCGCTTTTAAGCCAATTAATTAAACCCCGACAGATTTGCTCAGCTCGACCTAGATTCCCACAAGTCTTCGTTAAATAATTTATACTTCCACAATTTTCACCAAAATCATCATTTTTCTTCATATTATAGTAATGGAGTAAAATTTTCCTCAAAAACATTTTTTTCTCTACCGTCATTACTTCAGGTTGAGCAACCTCCAACGTATTTACAATTTCTTCATTGGATGATTTACTCATTTCTTTATGATTGATCTGTTTTCATGTTCCTGCTTGCTCCTCATCCTCCTCTTTATCCATTTTTGAAGCTCCAGATTGCTCTTTAATTTCATAATCGAAATTACCACTTTCAAACTGATTAAAAAAGATATTACAATTCTTCTCTGTTGGAAACACATCTCCATAAACTTCTGTTAATATACAATGAGTTTTAGCAGCAAATTTATTCATATTAAAGTAATGAATTAAAATTGCATATACAAATTCTTTATTCGGTGCAAAATGAAACATTTTTTCCAATAAAACAATTTTTTACAATTTTTCCATTAAACACTAAATAAATGCTTCTATATAACCGCAAAGAAAAGAATAAACTAGAGCCTCAAATTGAAACATGAATGATCATTGATGATTTTATTTCATGAGAGGTGGGGATAAGAACAACTGATATTCCACAGTTTTATGTACATAAAATAAGATAAAGAGAATCGAAAAAACATTGTTGAAAGCCAAGGTGTCTACCTTCATTTATATTTCTTATCCTCACATTCTCTCTTGTTCTCCTTCTCAACTGCAAATGTGAGTTGGAAATCAACATATTTTTATAACGACAGCTGCACTATTCAATATTTTTGATTTTTAACAACACGATCAGACATTCTCTCTCCACCTCTCACACATACATATACCACATTTACACGCACTTGAAATAAATTTACACACAAACACCCCATAAATAGAGGTGATAATAAATAAAATAAATTTCGCGTAAATATTAAACGGTAAACGGATACTTTGCACAAAAAATTAGGTCGTCATGTGATATTGATTTTCAATAGATTTGCTTGTTAAAAAATATGATTAAATCATTTTGAAAGTGGGAGAAATGGTTTTATATCAAATTCGAATGAAATCGCTTGATTAGTAACATGTACAGATTTTTGCTTAAAACTTCGATTGAAAAATGTATTTACTAAAATTTCAACAAGATTTTCAAAAAGGAATGTAGCAAAACTTAAAATTCTAAGTTCAATTTTAACCAAACTAAATGATTTTTTTCATCAGTTTCGGGAAAAATTTAAACGATTTTTTGATATGTTTTTGGTAAAAAAAAATATTTTATTTGATTTGTCAATGATATGAACCCAAAGCATTCAACGTTTTATTATTTTTCCTGTTCAAAATTCATGCATTTATTCAAAAATCGTCAATATTAATCAAAAATCTGTGGAGAAACTTCATAAAAAGGTTCATGGAATAAATCATAATCCACCAAAAAAATGATGAAATCAAATAAAAAATGTCCATGAATTTGATTTTAGAAGCTGTTATTTAATGAAATTTGATTGATTTGATGATTATTAATAAAATTTCAGAGTTTTCGATGGGTAATTTAAGGTAAATTTGGGATTTATGTATAAAAGTTGGAATTTTTTATATAAAACTTTGAATTTACCAACAGAATATTCATCTTTCTCAGTAGAACGTTGAACTTTTTCATTAAAAATTTGATCATTTTCGAAGAAAATTTTACTAAATTTAAATAATTTCACAGTTAAACGAATCTTAACCGATTTTCATGAAATTTCAGAACTATGCCAATATATTGAACTATAAAATTATATGAAAAAAACACGAAAAAAGAAAATATTTTGGGTAGAAAATGAAAAGTCACTGTTTTTTTGTTTGAGATCATTAGTGCATTTTTATTTAACATTTTAGAGTCACATTTTATTTAACATTTTGATGGAGAGAGTATTGAATGAGTATTTATCACGAGATTTGGCACGCATTCGTTCGAACCATTTTCGAGTCAGTGCTGCATTGAAAGGCTTCTTAAAATTGTTTCATATTCGACAACACGGCATTCACACGAAACTTATTTGGACTGTGAGGATCCTCTTCGAAGATTATTTGATTTATTGAACCACACCATTTCTATTGGAATAATAAAAAAAAACGATTAATACAAAAGCGTTTAGTCGTAGAAATTGCAATTTTTTTACATTTGTGAAATGATTTGTTAAACAGTAACAATAAATAAGACAACAGTATGTATGATTCTATTTTGTTTGCAATAAAAACCGAAATAAATATTCAGAACAATAGACCAAGGGTTCGTTTTGTGTTTGAATAAGTATCTGTGGATGAACACAAAATTTGTTTCTGAAATATTACCAAGGCATTACGATATTCAACTGATTCTAAAAAATACTCATGTGTCGTTTATGCAATCGTAAATATTCGAATTTATTGAAGTCAATAAATAGTCATGACCTTTTCAGGGAATTGCAACGCAGTTTTCGCTTTGAGGAAGAAATTTTAAGATTAAACTCTCCAAACGAATGAGAAAGACAAAAAGAAGTGAGGTGAAAATACAAAGGTAAAAGAACAACAACAACAACGAACGGACTGATGTATTGTAGAATAGTTGTATAGTCCCTGCACTGGTAGTACATTTTTATCATAGCGTGTTCAACTTTTAAATTATTTAATTACGACTGCATTCAGTTGGTGAATCTCGTTCGATTTTGTGAGCTTATCGTGTCGAAGTGTAAATATCGACATATTAATCAATGAAAATCGAATTATGTAGTTGAAACTATTCAGACCAATAAAAAAATGTATAAATCATTGAAACAGCACAGTAACAGCAACAGCAGAAGTTAATGTTTAATGTGTAGAAGTAATCGAAAGGTACAAACCTGTGGAATTTCCTTGCCCTATTTTCTTACCTTTCAAGTAAGCTATGATTCTCTTCTCCTGTTAGTGCTCAAAAACTAAAATGAAAGGAAACTAGCATCTTTTCTGTGTTTTTTCATGTATTCTTCGTTATCATATATCAATATTTAATAGTAACAGAATAAAACATTACATTCTGTAAAGGAAAAAATGGGTGAGATTCATTCTAAGGTTATTTAAACTGTAAATATTTGAATGGATTTGTCATAAATGCAACGACTCATAAATATTATAATCTATAAGATAAAATTTTTACTTATAAGCATAATGTTTCCTTTTTCCAACAAGTTTATCTCTCATTCCAAGAATGTGAACCGATAGTTCGATCCAACGCTGCTATGTAAAAAAATAGATATAATAGATAATATAGAAAATTTAAATATTTGATAACATTGGAAAAGCACTAAGCTATGTGCCAGCCGAAATATTTCCAAAAAATTTCAAGATTTCAAAACTGATGAACAAATAAAATTATAGGAGAATTGTATATACATTTTATTCAAATTATAAAAATCAAAAATGCAACAACAGCAAACAACAACAACAATGCAGAAACAATTTTCTTAGAAAAAAGCAACAGGAATCCAAAAATCAACCAATTTATAAACAATTATGATGCAATCGAATAAAAATATGATAGTGCAGAAGATGCGATCAGATATACAACAACAAAAGCTACAATAATCGATATTGCCGTACCAATAGAGAACTGATTCGCCGAAACAATAATTAAAGCAAGAAAAAAAAAGTATTACCCCTACAACTAATTTGAAGCATACCTGCACTTTAGAGCCAATTATTCTTTCCCAAAATGATTTAAGTCTTTTACCTCGAATGTCAAGAGGTACTATGTAATCGATTTTCAGCACTCGGTTCACGGCATCCGGACCACCTTGAATGAAACCTGTTGGGGAGCACAGACAAGAAAATGAATTCATTGAAATGCCTAGAACATTGAAAACGAAAAATATATTCGGATCTACGAACCAGCTGCGATGGTTTCATTGATCAATTGTTCCAAATCAGAATCAACCTTGACATTCAAACGTGCACGTAGGTCTTCATACGGAATGCATTTATTACCAAAAGCCATTTTCACGATGGTAAGATGTTTCAATTTATTTTCCATGGCATCACTCAATACGATGTAATTGCCTCGGTTTGCCATGTACTCTTTGTATGTATCATACGCAAACAGTTGCAATGTGTGCAAATAGTTGGTGTGCGCTGTATTTTTCAACTGAAAAATATTTACAAAAAATAATCAAATGAAATGAAATAAAAATGGAATCCGTCTTGATAAACGAGAATAAAACAATTGAATTAGTAAAATTCACCTTGCGAACATTTGGATGTGCCAATAGAGTGGTAAAATCACAGACGTTCAATTTTCCGAGTGCATTTTCGATCATTTGAACGCCTATATTTTCAACACTGATCACATAATCTATTCTCAGCTCTCGCTTCATGGCATCTGAACTACCTTGAATGAGACCTATTGAAGAGCACAGACAAGAAAATGAATTCATTGAAATGATCCCGAGTGAAAAAAGATGTTAGAAAAATATTCAGTGCACTGATTTTTTTTTCAATACACTGAATTTTTTTTTTCAGTGCACTGAATCTCGAATTTTCGATTTCAGTGGGTCATTTTTCCCACTCGGGATTCGATCATTAAAAACTAAAAAATTATTCTGAATTACTAACCAGCTGCGATGGTTTCATTGATCAATTGTTCCAAATCAGAATCAACATTGACATTCAAACGTGCACATAGGTCTTCATAAGGAATGCAGGTATTACGAATAGCCATTCTTTCGATGGTAAGATGTTTCAATTTATTTTCCATGGCATCACTCAATTCGATGTAATTGCCTCGGTTTGCCAGGTACTCTTTGTATGTACCATACGCAAACAGATGCAATGTGTGCAAATAGTTGGTGTGCGCTGTATTTTTCAACTGAAAAATATTTACAAAAAATAATCAAATGAAATGAAATAAAAATGGAATCCGTCTTGATAAACGAGAATAAAACAATTGAATTAGTAAAATTCACCTTGCGAACATTTGGATGTACCAACAGATTGGCGAAATTATAAACGTTTGGGCCTTCCAGTGCATTTTTGATGCTGGTCAAGAAATCAGGAACTTCAGGCTGCATCTGAGACGCTTCCAATGAACTGTATGTAAGTGATTCGCTCGCGCCATTTTTTGCATTTTCCATTTTTGTGTGTTTTTTTCTCACTCGTTTAGAAAATTTTATTCGACAGCAAAAACACAAATTTTATAATCAAACTAAACCGAACTAAAAACGTGATTGTTGTATTCGTCGTTTCTTTTGGAAAATCGGCTAGAAAATGTTGATTCACAGCAAAAAGAAATAAAGAACAAATTTATGTTGTAAATTGAACCAAATGTTGTATCTAAACAAATGTCACTTTGCGCATTTTTTTTCTTATTTCGCTGCAAATTGAAGTGCGTTCAATGCTACATCAGAATATGGACAATGGATACGGTTAATGCGACGGTTGAAATGTTGTAAAATCAAATCTATTTGTTTAAATAGACAAAACAAAAAAGAAAAATGATGAATTTGTTTTTATTTTTCTGAAATAATTTGTGGAATAAATGATGGATGCGCGGCTTGAGTCCATTTATTTTTGTAGTACGATAGACGTTGTGAGCTATTGAATCCGCATTTCTCTTTCATTTCCTTACAAAGATTCAAGTCCAATTCAGCATATAACATTCCATCTTGGATGCGAGACAAACTGTAGATTGTTTTATTAAAAATATCGGAAAAAATTCAAATTAGTGTGCTAACTAAGAAAAAGTTGAGAAACGTGAATGAAAATATCAACAATCAACATACCTTTGTTCTACTGCCGTCTGGTGCTGTTATAAACGTTGATCCAAAACATGGACCGAATACCTTCTCTACACCTGAATTCAAAGTGATTTTTTCAATTCCAACACGATTTAGGGCCACTGTATAGTAACTATGATCAAAGGCAGCACTTCTTATTTCAATGGGCCACCAATGCTCGTTGACAACCTGCAATTGAAAAAAAATTCTCGATAGCAATTTGAACACAGTAAAATGAACCAAATCAATAATATATATAAACGATGACACAAAAGATTGAAAACCGTTGTTGCTGGATTGAACAAAATTTCAGCCCCATTCATTGCATGCAAAATCCAATTTTGTGGATGATGTCGATCAAAGCATATTGTCACGCCAATTCAGCCGAAGGTTGTGTCAAACACTCGCTGACCAGTTGTTCCTTGTGTGTAATATTCACATTCACCATTGAGGCTGAGTCCAAATGCTCGGCTATAAAATTTATAGCCGGCTAGAAAAATTCAAATCCGTCTTTCGCCGTATGTAGTGGGTTTGTTATATCAGGTTATTTATTTCTAAGCTATTGCAAGCCACTGGACCCAAATCCACCAATAGTTTGAGGCATTTGTCGCTGTTATGACAATTTTCATTTTCTAGCCGGCTAGAATTTTTTTTTTCGTTTTTTTCGCATTTTTTGGGGAAATTTTAGTCGGATGAAATGAATTAGGACAAATAATGACGATTTGCATCAAAAACCGCAATAATTTCACAGATATTTTTGATTTTTTTTGGAAAAAATTGAGTTTTTTGAAATTGTTTTTTTGGACTTTTTTTAAATTTTTTTTTGGAAAATTTCATTCGAATGGAATATATTAGGGCATAAAAAGCGGTTTCACATCGAAAATTTTCGATTTTTTGTAATTTTTTCGCGAAAAGTTTGAAGTCCTTTAATTTCTCAACTACTCAAAATAGAGCAACAGTGTCTGAAGCAACTTTTTAGTACTCCTCAAGACCTTTGCATACCATGTTCTAAAAGTACTAAAAGAGTTCTAAAAATGTACTAAAAAGTACTAAATGTTGCAAACCCTTTGTATGGCTGTGGTTGACTCTGGGCGATGGATTTACTGTACGAAATCATGTTAAACGTACAGTATTGGACCGTGATATACCCTACTGAGCGTTACCTAGCTGTTATATTAATATTTGAATAGAAAACTTATCGCATATCTTCTATCAATTTCAAGTTTTTTTTTCTATTCAAATATTAATATGATTGGATTCGCTCGATTTCATCGCATCGTTAATTTGCAAATAGTTAAAGGGAGTGAGAGCCAAAAAGTGGTAGCAGTAGCAGCAGCAGTACAAATGTCATGGCTACATTTTTCGCTGTTAGTGTGGAGGTGGTGTGTGAGTGTTCATTGTGTGTGAAAATACTTTGTCGTCGACACAAATGAAATTTATTGAGTTTGCCAACTAGGTAAAACATATATACATAATACCGAACAGCGATGCAAACGCACACACACACACACCGTCCGATCCGATCCGATCCGATCGACACAACGGTTTTTGAATAAAAGACCGTATTTATATACACTAGACACTAATAGCAATCACGGTACTTGAGCCGAAAATGTGTTGTATGTTCAATGTTCATGCACTCGCTCTCATGAATCATGATATATTAGAGATCGAAGTTGAAAAAGCATCGACAGAGTTCCATAAATATTAACGCCATTCCGTGTGTGTGTGTGTATAAGTCGCTTTTTTCCCTCTTCTCTCACTCTCTCTTTTGAATTCGTTCATATCGAGTAGAAATCGCATTGCTATGGACTATTTAGGCTATTGTTTATGTTCTCAAAACCATTTAGATAAACTAAAGCTTCTCTGTCGCTGTCTCTTTGTGTATGGAATGGGACATGAAGGCAATGGAGAAAAAGCAAAACAACGAACTTTTGTATCAACTGTCTAGCTTTTTGGTGGTATGTTTTCACCCATAGAAATTGTTCGGTGTGCTACTGCCGCCGCCGCGTGCGTTTTCTCTTTGTGTATACATATATACGTATCACAAAACATAATTACGATAATTCATTAGAAAAGGTGTTGTTTTCCACTGTGTGTTCCGTTTTTCATTATGGCGAGAGAGCGAGAGAGAGAGAGAGAGAGAGAGAGAGAGAGAGAGAGAGAGAGAGAGAGAGTTCAGTTCGGTTGCATGGACAAACGAATGGACGAATGGATGGCTTGGTCGGGTGGTGAGAGTTGTTTGTTTTTCTTTGTTGCTTGTGTGCCGTGCCGATAAGATTCATTTTGCCAACTTTCCTAATAAAAAATGGACAATTTCGTGCACTGAATATACAGTTCGCCAGTTCAGTGAACAATGAAAATCAGTGAGTGTATGTCAGTGGTTACTATCATTTTCTTTTGGTCTTTTTCTCGGCTCTTTCTCACTCACTCTCTTGCACTCTGTTTTTTCCCTTTTCGCACATTTCTATTCTTCCTCTGTTTCATTTCAACTGCTGTGCATTGTGCTTGCTCCCCGCGCGTGCCTTCGATCTCATTCTCACTCGCCTCATACACTGGGTTGTACATCGTGCATTTTTATCTGGCAGTCATCTGTACACGCATTTCATTACCCATTCGATTGTGGGTTGTTGAAGTTGTCAGTGGTGTCGTTTTTTTCGGGGAGCGGTCGCCGAACGGTTTTATATTTTATTATTTCGAGCACATAAACTCGCTTCGCTTGATTCTTCTTTTTTCGCCTCGGTTTCTTCCTCTTTCTCACACGCACACACTCCCCCTTTCTCTCTCTCTCTCTCTCTCTCTCTCTCTCACATACTCGCCCTTTCTATCTGTCTTGCCACTATTTCCTAGCTCTCTCTCGTCCTCCTCCTTCACATGCAACATAAATCATTGACTGATGAATGAATCAATCAAATAAACTAATATTTCATAGAAATGTCCAAACTTTTGTTTTCTAAATCATTTTTTTCCTTTGCTCATTGCCCAAACAAAAATCTCTTTGCTCAGGCATAATTGTACAACAATGGGCTTAGGGTTTCTTTCGACTAAATAATAGTAAGAGGAAAAAAGTGCAACTTTCATTTCGTCTGGCATGTTTTCATGCTTTGCATTCGGTCAATTCATTCATCTTTTATTGCACTTTCTTGTTGCTCGTTAATTTTTTTCTCTGCTTTTACTCTATCTCTCTCCATGGCTTTTTCTCGTTTTCAAATATATTTAATAAATTATTTTCATTTAGAATGCACAAAACTATGGCGATTCACACACAAGCACACACACACACACACACACACACACATACACTTAAGTCTCATTCAGTCACTCTTCTCTCGCTCACGCTCACTTGGTCGCTCACTCACTTGATGTCGAAACCCAAATATGCATTCCACACGGGGTCGATGTGATCTTTTGCTATATTGTTTTTTTTTTCTCCTGCTCACAACTTAATTTCATTTCCATTTCTTGGTTTCGTTCATTTGTTGTTGTTTCTCTTAATTCTCTCCGTTTGTAATTTGTTTTTTTCTTTTACAACGAAATACACACGATAAATATTTTTTTTCGTGAAAATTAAACTGGCTTACACTTCGTTCTTTCTTCTGTAATTTTTTTTGTCAGTTCCAAAAGTAAAATTTGACGTGAATTTTTTTTTCCGTTTCTGTTTCTACACCAACATTTTCCGATGTTTGTCCTTTTTTCTCCAAAACCAAAAACAGACCGAAAAAAAAACCAAACAACAATAAAACTCACTGAACAAAAGTCGATTTGTATAGAGTATGTGTGTGGGTTCTGTTTTATTTTTTTTTTCGTTGGTTCTTGCCCAATGAAAGATAGATTGTTTATTCGATTTTCATTTTTCGACGCATCTCCCCGTTGAATATTTTTTTAAGACGTATATATATACACACTGAACTGAGGGTAGTACACGTTGTGGGAAAATCATTATGCACACGACCGAAAAGCACGTCTTTTCATAGAAACATTTAACCTCGAACTGAAAATTGTTATGTATAGGAGGATGGAAATAACATTGAAACGTACGAAAAAAACAACAACCCCACAGAGAAATGTTTGAATTAGTGTGACAAGGAAAAGCACAATCTACACACAAACACCATTGCAATTGGACGAATCGAATTTCACGTATACGTGAAGCGAGCAGGCAAGCAAGCACGAGAGATTGAGTAAAAGGCGAATAGAAGAAGAAGATTGTATGGCACCACTAATCAAAATGAAAAGACTCATACAAACACGGATATGCGAACACACATCCATAGAACTGTGTACAGACTGCACGGAGAGAATGGACGATGAATACAATACTCACACATTAATGACGAAAGAAAATACCATACACACGAAATATAACGAAGAATATGGCCGCCAATATGAAAAATCCTTCGGACATGAATACAAAAACATGCACAGGTACGCACACGCACACGCTCTCCACCACTTTGATGGAGGGAAGTGTTCAAGTCTCGTATACATACATAGGTCCGCATGAAATTGCGTTGTAACATGACATACCGACCAGTACAAGCACAACCACGACACACAGCCACAGCAGCAAAGCACCAAATCGTCATGTGCGCGCTTGTGTATGTGTCGATGGTTGCCACACATCAGGGTTCAAAATAACTTGTAGCCTGCTTGGTGAAAGCGTCACACAGAGCTTTTTCTTCGCCGCTTACTCGGTACATTGTTCAACTGATATGTAGTTGTGCCGATGTTGAATTTATGCTGTTCGATATATTTATCGAGAAAAGCGTTCTAATTAAAATTCGGCTGGAAATTGGACATTTAACGGCAAACGAAAAAAAACCCGTTCTTTTTTTTCCGAAATGGTGAGAGAATGGGTGAGCTGAGTGTTGATTAGCTGCTATTTTCGACCCTGACTTCAATCAATTGCAAAACGCAGCTCCACATTCCATGGCACCTACCAATTTTTTTCTCTGCGTTTTATCTGAACAATACGACAAAATCACCGTCATGGTTTTTTCTTCTCTCTGTTCGTTCGTATGAGTGTGGTTTTGTGGAGATAAGATGTTTTTGTCACGAAACGTGCAAGAGTGAGTCTGTTGAGCTTGGAGCTTATACTTTGTTTGTTCGCTGTACTGCAACTGGAGAATAAGCGCGCGCGAGACAGAGAAAGAGAGTGAAAAAAAATGGAATTAAAAACCGTTTCTACCATAACACACATAGACGAAAAGAGGGTGAGTGAGTGAGTGAGAGCGAGCGAGTTTTTCCCATTCATACCACCTATTCGATGTGTCAGCAATATACTGAGTCAGTATCAGTTTCTCACTGCGTCGACATGATACATCAATTTTTACGTGAGTGAATGTGCACGCGCACATTTTCAATACCAAACGCACGCTCACCTCACACACTCATTCTTTTCTTTCGTTCGTTTCCCGAACACAAATGTATCAACACGGGACCATTCCAAATTAACGTGCCAATTTGAATGCATGGAAAATTGGCATAGTTGAAGTTTTTTTTCGTGTATATTCCTCTTTGGATTTGAATAGAAACAACATCACCAACAATGAAGGATGATGCGGTTACAGCCATCGATGGAAATGAGTCGGCATGTGCCTAAGCTTGGGAAAACCGGAAAAATGAACGCAAATGATGCGGATTTATTGGAATGAAGCATGATGAGCCCGGATTAATGGAATGATGATTGAGGATTAATTTGAATGAATGAGCTTACACTTCAAAATTAACGAACTTCATTCCGCGTTTCCATCAACAAGTATGGCGGTGCGTTTCATCACAATCATCTACATCTTGAATTCTTACCATTTTACGGCATCAAATAAAGCCAATTCCAAGTGTAATTTGCACCCACTTGTACTTTTTTTTCTTCTCTACTACATAAACAAAGGGTACGCAAGCAACATGGAAACGACCTCACCATAATGAACTAAATATTTATTTTATTTCTTTCGCCCGGAATTTTCAAATTAAATAATGCGATTTTATGCGGGATATGTGGTAACGGTCAGACCAACACAAAAGCAGGTTTAATATGCTATTTTACAAATCGAAATAACCCATTGTATTCTGTGTGGAATGAAAGAAACCGACTTTCTTTTTCTATTCAATTGAATTTAATAAAAATAAATTCTTTTTAGATTTTCTTTCAATACCATAGCCATTGTTCCACTGTTACCAAGCTATAGCATACCATTTACAAGAATAGAATCGATT